ATGGGCGTAGTGATATGATGAATAAAGCAGAGAGCAACAGAGTGCCAATGAGCCGAATCCCTTTGTGGTGTTGGCTGAATGATGAGGTGGAAAATTGAAAAAGAAATATATATATCATCCTAAATTGTATTTATTTTAACTAACACCCTCACCTACATAACGACAAACTATGATAGTTGACTGCCAAAATTTGATAAATAGTGATATCACTGGTAAAATGAAAATGTAAAGTTAGTGGTTGATACAAGAGAAAAAATTTGTTAGTGGCAAACGTGAAACAAAATTTTAAACTCTAAGAACCAGATGTACAATTTAGTCAATAATTTTGTTGGTTTTGGAATGCGATTGTAAAGTGAAACGGGGTCGTTTGAAAATTGTGATTATTTTTTGTGAGATTCTTACAAAACATACATTGTTTAGAATACAATTTTTTCCTCAAAAATTCATCTTTGATTGATTTGATAGAAACTATTACTCAAATTGAATGACTAAACTATTTTAACTTTTAGCTGAGATTGTGAACTCAATTTGATTTACAATTTAAAAATACAATCACACATACCAAATTTTATATTTTACCTTTTATCAAATTTATCCTATAATAGATAGGTAGCCTGAGGGATATAATGAGGAACAAAGTTGAAATATGAAGAACCTATTTTCAAATTCAAATAAATGGATGGATTTTGGATCCTAACCGGTAAAGATAGGATGATTGTACACATTTGAGAAGATACATAATATGCTATTGAAGAAAGACTATGCGACTAACATTTTGCGGAACTATTTTGAGAAGTATATGCAACGTTTGGTTCATACAGAACTGTATCTGATCAAATCAATATTTGAATTAGACCAAATCAAACTGAATATAATATGTTTCGCTTCTTGGTCTCATAAATTTTATAATTGCTGAAGAAAAATTGATCGTATTAACATTTTGAATATGACGAACAATGATTTAGCCTAGTGGTAATGCCACTAGCCTAGAACTTGCAGGTTTTAGATTCGAATCCCTTAAATAGTAACTTAATCACAAAAAAGTAAGCATATATCACCATTATAATTTTTTTTTAATATATGATCAAACCAAAATAAATCAAACAAAATACAATTATAATCTGATCATTGATTATAAAATATCTTTCATTATTGAACTGTATAGTTCTTATAAATCCGGATCGTACTGTTACACAACTCCAGTAACGAGGAAAGGAAAACAGAGAAATTACCGAGGAGAGGACCATAAAATAACAAACCTCCCCCGTAGGCCCGTACTGTATTTGTTTAAGTCTCTCTTTTGTCTTCTAATTAACACATACCCACACCAAACACCACTACTAGTCTACTACTACTCTCGCCTTATCTCTTAATTATGGACTTTTTGTTTTTCATCTTTACCCTTTTCCAATAAAACATTTTTTGTTTTTCTCGTCATTGAATGAATATGTTAATGTAGAGAGTTTTTGTTTGTTTTGTCCAATAATGTCCTGGTGGTGAATGCTAAGCTCACAGGAGATAGTAGTTCCCAGCCTAACAGTCGTGTTCCCAATGGGTAGCTAGTAATCTTGGCGCCTTCTGGTTGGTCCGTGAGCTGGTGAGCAAACCGGAACCGCATGATTCTTTGGAATTTTCTTCTTTAAACTTCCGGAATCTCAATTATTTGGTTAAAAACAGAAGAAATTAAATTAGCTTATGGTCGAATCAAATTTTTAGTCGGCGTTTAACAGATTGTATCGAAGGTTATATCGAAAAAGTTAATGATATGGTATTTTAAGTTAAAATTGTGGTTGAATCATAGTTCAACTGTTATATACGGATAAAACCGCTTATCATTTTGGGTCCGATATCCAATATTTTCATTAACACTCGCTGGTATAGTAGGGTTTCTTCAACCATGATTGTGAGACTTCAATTAAAAGGTCTCCAGATTTGACGGTTGACGAGCAATTGCTAAACTAGATTTCTTGCTTTTAAAATTTGGTTAAAATTTTTGGCTTCTTTTTGGATTCCTCCTTGATAGTGAGTGTTTAACTTTAGCATGAAAATTACAATTGATTTTAGAATATGGTTGGTCATTGCTATTATTAGATAATAGGTTAGATTGTGATTGCAATCAATGTATTGGGTGAATCTAGGAATACCCGGTTGATCATTCCAACATAGCAATCAAGGAAATAAGTAGCAACAATTGTATAAAGAGCCAAACTTTGTGTAGTTAGGACTCTTGTTTAGTTTTATTATTAATTAAAATGATATGTAGATGCAAGATGAGTATTAAAATAAAAAAATTCAACGCAATTCAACAATCTAATCATGTGAAATTGTGAATTAAGGATGACAATTAAACACATGATCATGAGTGTTGATCGTTCCTGATTCCGTCAATGTGATGAAATTCTGCATGGACTGGGTATGCGTAAAATGCGCAAAAAAATTGATGAGATGAGACAGGTATAGTTATTTGGATAAAAATTATACCACCCAATCTCCATCAATTTTTTGTATACCCATACTCATCTCACAAATAATATCTCTCTATAGATACCAAAAGATTAATGATTGGATGCTAAAAATGTTATTGTCTTATGGACTAATAGATGTTATTAGATTGGAGATTTAGATGTTTTAATTTGAATTAACAACAATTATATCTTTGTTACCTTTATGGTTAATTAGCTCTATTTGATGTTATACACCAAATACATGTTTAGTAAGCTTTATTATATTAATTCTAGGTATAATAATATTTTATATACATGGCAGGTATTATCTGCAAGTCAAGAATAGAGTTGCAAACCCTTACCTTGGGTATGAGTACGTGTGGAAATCGGTACGGTACGGTATCGGTATCCCAATACTAAATATTAAAATTCCGAATACCGAATTACACTCTAAAATCAATTCCAATCTCAATCCCCTAAATAATTACGGTATCCCAATTCTTAAATATTTTGGTATCCCAATCGGTACTTCGGTATCCTAATCGGTATTATCAAATACGAAATTAATTAACTTTGCAATTAATAATTAAATATATAAATTAGATTTTATTGTTTAATTTAGGTCAAAGAGACTAAGTAAATAGTTTTGAATTTGCCTAGAGCTAGGATATTTAAGAAAAATGGAGGAGAGGAGACATCTTTGTGGATTGAGTCGAGCGCGAGACGAGAAGCTTCCTTTTTGTGTGAGAGTTACGAACCCTAGTTTCAACATAGACCGAAAAGAAGATTGAGTGCAATAGATCGATCGAAAATTAACAAAATGAAGACTTCTTGTTTCTGAAATAAGTTAATGGACTTTAAGTGAAATGAACGTTTGTTGGGCTTTAAGCCCAACGCCAATTTTGTGTTATCTGTTGGGCTCAATTGTTAGGTTTCCTTTCTGCGGCCTGCAACCTTCTCCACTCGCTGCTCTGTGTTCTTGTTCTTGATCAACTGCAAACCAGAGAATAAACACATGGAGAGAGTAAAAATAGTCTTGGCAAACACAGAGAACCATCACAACGACACAGTTTTTACGTGGTTTCCGATACTGATCAATCAGTATCGACTAGTCCACGGTTGAAGGGTCTCTGATTTGAGTCCTTCGACGTTCCACTATGATGGTTGTAGATCTATTTACAAAGTACAACGATTGATCTCAACGTGCCTCCCCGTCACACGAGCAGAATCCCACTGTAGAGTTTTGCTCCCTGCAACCCCTCTACCATGATAATTCCAATCCTATAACCTGAGTTCTCTCCCTCACAACTCTGTTCTTTTTCTTCTCAATACACGAAAATACTCTGTTTTGTTTTGAGAATATACCCGAAAAAGTTATCTCCTATTTACCTAGAATCCCAGCTTTATATGGCTTGCTTTAGTCGACCGTTGCTTGCTAATCTGTGAATCAATTGTTATTCCTTGATTGCCTTGATTGATCACAGCATCAGAACCTTCCCTTTTTTATGTTCCACAATATCCAGGATATCTTGCCATTCTTGCTTTGCTTGATTTCTTGATGCCATTGACCAAGCTTCATTCAACAAACTCCCCCTAAGCTTGTCATTGGCTCCCTTGGTTATCTGTAGTGGCGGAGCTACATTGCACCAAGTATTGTCAATTGACCAACCTTGGCTTTCAGTTTGGAACAAAATAATTAATGGATTTTTTTTATTGATGTTTGTATTGGAACCAATTACCAATTGACAAGCCTTAGAATTTTTTTAATTAATTTCTTTTGAACTAAAAACCGAAGGTTGTTATAAAATAAAAAATCAGATATTTATTATTGCTAATTTTATACGAAATGAAATAAGTTTCATATCTATTAATTTAATTTATAATTCCAATTCATTACTTCTCCTGTTTTTTATCGAAAAAACCCCCTTTGACTACCTTACTTGACCCAAACTCCCAACGAATGAGAGCAATTTCTTAGAGACATAGATTACTTTGTGTTATTAGGTACTATTTAAGGGATTCGAACTTCAGATCTTCAGGTTCAAAGTTAGTGGTATTACCACTAGACCAATCCCTTTTTCGTAACGAATAGAACGATTTTGAAATGATTGTTTGGTTACACTTACTGAATTTTTTGTGAATCGCGATACGAATAAGAAGTTTATTTTTGATTTTTTTGTACACGAAAACAATATGTGATTTGCTGTCAAAATAATGATGTAATGCACTTCATGAAATTTTTTTGTTAAATTATATATGTAATTTATTATTTTATATTCTTATTCTTGAATACCCTTGAAGAATTTTCTAGGTCCGCCACTGGTTATCAACATTTAACACACAATTGGTGCAACATGTTCTAGTCGAGACATTTATAAAGCAAAGTTGTATAGATGAGATATAGATGAGAATATTATTATTCATAGATAAGAAGAACAACCACATTAAGAACTCGACCTAACTAGTAAAAGATTCCACACCTATCACGACAACTCCTATAAACTCGACCACTACCGAGACTCTAGATCCTCCCCCTGTGACCACTATCCATAACACCTAGAAGGGATATTTTGGTGGAGACTCGTACTCCGAAATCCTATCTTCTTCTTCTGACTCGGAGTTAGAGCTGATTGAGTCATTACTGCACCTGACTCATACACAAACTTGTGCCACATTAGGTCTTGTTGCCTCAACCGCTTCAGGGCAGTGGTTTGTTTTCTTGTACTTTAAGATTCTCGCTTGATGACTTATACAACTGCATCAACAAGAGCATCCAAAAGTCTCCCAGATGCGTAAGCCTCAGGACTCGTCATGACTCCCCCTGAGCCAGTGACAGGCTTACAAGGGGACGACCTCAACATTTAACTTGGCTAGAACATGTTGGGGACGAAGATCATCAAAGACATTGCAGAGCGTGGCCGTATCACGCAAATCAATTCCCAACTGATAAAGAAGTTTGGTTATCTAGGGCCCAAAAGGCAAGGGATCACTATAGTATTCAAGTTGAAACTTAATTATGTGGGTGAGCATTAGTGAAGCAGAGCTAATGAGACGACCTTCTTTAGCATTAGATAAGATCCATAGATCAGCAGAGTAAGGAGATCAGTGCAGGAGAGATCACGAAGCAGAAAGCATCGAGTAATGAAGAAGTACAACACCTTCAAGTCATCTGGCAAACGACCAGCCGCAAGCGGAGAAGGAAAGAATTCCCCGATATCACGGGTGTAGCGTGCAAGAGCAGCATCAAAGCGAAAGCCTCGAGCAGCAAATTCACCATATGTGCCTGCCCGAAGTCCAGTGTGAGGAAGATTGAGAAGGTTTGCCAAGAGAGCAGGAGTAACTGTGATATCATAATTGAACACAGTTTTTGTGAAGAAGGCTAGGTCGCATCCAGGACCCGGAACGAGGTTGACATAGAACAAGCGTACTGCCTCGGGACAGTAACTAAACCTCATGTTCTCAGTCAATCAGCCCCAGCCAAGCCCATCAATGAGAGAGGAAACGTTCATGTCATACTTTGAAAAGCCAGAAGGCTGAATTGAGAAGGAGGGACTGATGGGACGATCTCTAAACAAGCGAAGGTATCGAGAATAAGCCGCAGGACTGCTGAACCCTTTATTGCTAAATACTGCTACAAGATGCAGTTGAACATTGTTGAAGGCCATTTTTCTACTAAGGATGAAAAGATTATTTTGTCGAGACGAGTTGTGATGGATGGAGACCAGAGCCTAGCGACGTGTTAATATATAGAGAGGTTTCAAGAAGGAGGAATAAGGTAAGTTGAAATGAATGCTTGAATTAATCAAGTAATCAGCCTTTATTGAAGCAGGGAAGGTTTATATCCTCATAATCATAAAGATTCAATCTCGTTAAGGGAAAACAACCCAATTCCAAGACGGATAGGTAAGAATTTGTCTATCCCAAGAGGTTCAGTGAAGATGTCAGCCCACTGACCCTCAACTAACATGACATTATTAATTGACGGAGTTAGTCCTACCTGACCTTTTCCTAGAATACTCGTGCTATAATTATCACCAAAGTAAACTTTTTCCTTTCTTACCTAAGGTAAGTTTTGAAAACAAGTCTCATATACCTGTCATGTGGTGTGAGCACCCGCTGTCCAGGATCCATTCACTGTCATCTATGCTCACTTGGAGACAGACCTGCATCATTATGATTTTACTTGGTTTTTGGTATCCAAACCTGTTTGGATACAATCTGTGATCTGTTGCAATATTTATTTACATGTCCTAATTTACCACAATTATGACATTTCTTGTTTTCTTTTGCAATCCTTTTCTTGCAGTTAGGGATGGCAATGGGGCGGGTTTGGGGTGGGTTTGTCTAAACCATCCTCACCCCCTCTTTCAAATATCTATACCCATACCCGCCCCATACCCATGCGGGGAAGGTTTTGCAAACCCATCCCCATACCCATGGGTTTCGGGTACCCATGGGTAATACCCGCCCGGTACATCTAGCATTATAATATCGAATGTTTACATGTAGATTTTCAATTATAAATTAACGCACCTACTATATCATGAAGCCGACAAAGAGACAATCATTTTTAATACGATTCAAAAGATTTTATCCTAAAGCATTCATTAATCCATATCAGAGTAGAGTACAATGTCATCCATATCATTATTCTCTACACTAATACATCTATTAAGTAATAATTAACTAACATAATTTTGTTAAAAGGGGAAACAGTGAAAGAGTGAAGGGAAAATTGAGAGAAAGAAGTTATATTTGATTTGGGTGGCCACTTAATTGCATTTCTACTATATATTTTTCTTGAGTTATACTCACTATTATTGATAGGTTGCAAATTGATCACATATTTTCATATATGAAGAAATATTTTTGGTGGGGCGGGTATGGGTATGGGGCAGGGGAGGCTAAAACCATACCCGCCCCATACCCATCAAACATTTTGCGGGTTTTACCCATACCCTCCCCGGTCAATGCGGGGATTCCCCATGTTGACTGGGTCGGGGAAGGTCGGATACCCGTGGGCATGGGTTTGATTGCCATCCCTACCTGGAGTTAGCAATGTAATGATCTTCCTGAATCCTGATGACAATAGAAGGAACCAATAACTGTTAACTTTCTTTTCTTAGTGACATGATTAATTTTTGCATTTAATGATTTATTAGAAGTTCCCTCTCTTATGCTGGCTTGACATTCCTCACCACACTTATAGTTTGTAGTGTTCTGTAACCATCTTAAATTTAAAAGATCAGCCTTAAGAGTTTCATTCTCAAGAAGACATTACTTTAGTTGATTTTCTACATCCTGTTTTTCTTCTTTCAACCTGTTACACGTACTATTTATGCTCAAAAATTCGGCCTTCCGTTTAGTGTGCTTAATTCTAACATTCTCAAATTCTTCTTGAATGTTTTTAATTGTATTAATCATTTCCTCTGTTTCGCTATAATTATCAGAGTAATAGTCAATGTGACTTACCTGAGGTGGTCTGGAGTCATCATCTCTTACTTCTAGTGCCATGTAAGCAGCATATCTGGTTTCATCATCGTCCTCTTCTTCCTCACTGCAGCTCCAGGTTGCAGCGTATGCTTTTTCCCTCTTCATCATTGGACATTCAACCTTTATATGGCCTAATCTTCCACATTTGAAGCATCCAGCCTGAGATGATTGCTTCTCGTTTGGAGCTCCTTCTTTTCTTAGTTTTGGCAGTGATTGATTGAACTTTGATTGATCTTCTCCTTCCCTGGAGCGATTTATCAATCCTCCTCTTCTCTTTTCTTTTCTCAACCTCATTAGCTTGGCTACATTTTTGCTTAGCATAGCTAATTCCTCATCTTCCATTTCATCAAGACTGTCAAAATATTCTTCCCGAACATTCGTCTTGAAGGCTATGTTGCGCCTTTCCTTCTTTGGTTCTTCAGCTTCTTCCTTCCTCAGTTTTTCTTCATGAGTTATCAAGGATCCCATGAGTTCGTCAAGAGTGAGCTTTGTGAAATCTTTTGATTCCTCAATTGCGGTGACCTTTGGCAGTGCCCAGAGCACCTTTCTGACTAGATCACTGCTCTCATACATAATTCCCAGATTCATCAAACTATTGACAACAGTCGTGAATCTTTCATTAATCTCTTTGACTTATTCTTCAGGCTTCATGATAAAAGACTCAAATTCTTGATTCAGACTATTGATTCTGGAAATTTTCACATGCGTCGTACCTTCATGTGCTACTTGAAGTTTATCCCAAATCTCCTTTGCGGATTTACACCTAGTGACGCGATGATACTCCTCTGGTCCTAGTGCGCAGTACAACAAGTTCGTGGCTTTGAAATTCATCTGATAATTCTTCTTGTCTGTGTTTGACCATTTGCCTCGAATTCCCTTGACCTCCAACGGTCCATCGAGAATGATATCCCAAATATCTGGATCTGTAGACCCAATGCAGAGTTCCATTCGGTTTTTCCAGTACCCGTAGTGTACTCCTTCGAATCTTGGGGGTCTTGTCTGAGAGAATCCATCCGCCATAAAGATCGCTCCAGTGTTTGTGCTTGAACTCATCTTCTCCGAAGGTGATTAAGACTTGTTTGTCGGAGCCGGGCTCTGATACCACGTGTGGATTGAGTCGAGCGCGAGACGTGAAGCTTCCTTTTTGTGTGAGAGTTACAAACCCTAGTTTCAACACAGACCAAAAAGAAGATTGAGTGCAATAGATCGATCGAAAATTAACAAAATGAAGACTTCTTGTTTCTGAAATAAGATAATGGACTGTAAGTGAAATGAACGTTTGTTGGGATTTAAGCCCAAAGTCAATTTTGTGTTATCTGTTGGGCTCAAGTGTTAGGTTTCCTTTCTGCGGCCTGCAACCCAGTTCTTCTCCACTCGCTGCTCTGTGTTCTTGTTCTTGATCAACTGCAAACCAGAGAATAAACACACGCAGAGAGTAAAAATAGTATTGGAAAACACAAAGAACCAGCACAACAACACAATCAGTTTTTACGTGGTTTCCGATACTGATGAATCAGTATCGACTAGTCCACGCTCGAAGGATCTCTGATTTGAGTCCTTCGACGTTCCACTATGATGGTTGTAGATCAATTTACAAAGTACAACGATTGATCTCAATGTGACTCCCCATCACAACATCAAAACCTTCCCTTTTTGATGTTCCAGAATATCCAGGATATCTTGCAATTCTTGCTTTGCTTGATTTCTCGATGCCATTGACCAAGCTTCCTTCAACAATCTCAAGTTCTTGTCATTGGTGATCTTTAATTTGATGAATTGGAGGTTGAGGGACGACTAATACTAGTGTTTACTTTTTAGTGTTAGGAAAAATAACAAGAGATTAGGTGAGAGACGAGAGTGACTTAAACTGGAAAGTCAAATTTGAGCTGGATGAGGACTTCTAAGTTGTGAAATAGTGATGGAATGATCTATGTATATTTAAATGACACTCTTGGTTGAGGGTCGTGTAATAGTGAATGAGAGAGTCTAGTTGAGAGGATAAAATATACATTAGCTTATATTTTGGTATTGATCGGTATTTCGATATATACCGATCCCAATCCCTAATCCCTAATACCGAATAACAATTGAAATTGAATCCCAATCCCAAAATCAAGAAATAATACGTGTATTCGGTAGTACCAAATATAGACAAATTCAGTACGGTATTCGGTATATCCCAAATACCTGTACCAAACTTCCCGCTCTAGGTATGAGGTGAGTATGCGTTTGGATTTTTGAAATATAGATGAATATGGTTTAGGGAAAGCCGCCCCATTGCCATCTCTAATGTGAATTGACATCTCTCTTTACCAACCTCCATAAATATTAATGGTCAACCTAAATTTTGTTCAAAATTTGTCAATTTCTTTCAAAATTCGGACAAAACTATCTTATTTGAAAGTTTATGTGAAAATTGTATTTTACGTCAAAGTTCACGCCAAAATAAAATATTATTATGGAAGTCACGTCGTAGCCACCTTAGCATTATATGATGACTCATAGATGTAACAAATGAGTTGACTATCAATATTAACGACCAACCCAAATTTCGGGCCACATTTGTCTATTTTTTTCAAATTAGAATAAAACTGTCTTATTTGAAACTTCAGGCCAAAATTGTCATTTAGGTAAAAGTTGAGGCCAAAATAGGGTATTATCTGAAAAATTTAATTTCCAAATTCATCATAACATCATGTGTAACAATACATACATTTTGAGTCCAAATTCAACAACGAAAAACTATGTGTTTCACATAATACATATATTCTCGGAATATATCATTCATGATTGAAGGTTGCAAGCAAACCCTAACTGGAAAGAAAATCTCATGATTAGAGGTAAAGAATGATACCTAGATATCACTTATATATAGGGGTGTGCAATGGTTCGGTTCGTACCAGACCCCTACTTATATACAGTTAATAAGTAATTACCGCACAATGGATTATTGAATCCTTGAACAGCCATTTGCTCATTGTTAATGACTCGTGACTTTAAGGAACCGAAGCATGATGGTAATTTCCTTGTGGTGTAATCATATGTATGTCCCAAAATTAAAGTTAAAACTTTTTAAACTTCCATCAGACAAGACTGGTTAATTAGTTAGATAGCACAACAACAAAATGAACTTGCACTTGTATTAGCTCTCTTGCCCAAGCAGCAAGTCAGCTCCACCACCTAAATGCTCCATCTCTTGAGTTTGTCCCCCTGCCGGCTGCCA